TTCAAAACAATACCTCAGTCTTTCTTGTCTACGATTAATTGACATTGTTAGGAGGAATAGTGATTCCTCACCACTGAAGGCAAAAGTTCTATATTAGTTGATAAATAGATTTGGTTGATTCCTTATTCTGCATCTTACCTCAACTTTCTTCTTGTGTTCATAGTAAACAGCAGCTTTAGCTTTACGCTTTTCTTCAAGGGTTTCCAGGACATCCTGAGAACACAGATATACTGAATTAATACAAATAATTTGTTTCTTCGTGCCTCAACAAACATTCTGCCCCTAAAACATTGGATGGCCCCAGTTGCTGTTGTTGCACTGTAAAAGTCAGTGCTCTCAACAAAAGCCACTGGTGCCATAAAACTGCCAGCTAGACTGCCAAAAAATTATGCATTTCTGATTGGCTGAAACAAGTGTATATTTCATGTGACAGAAGAGCAAAGTTGTAACACAAGTGCAAATTACAAATAACGTGTGCACTGTCAAAATTTTGTCTGTTTTTACTTTCTGTTATGCTTTTTCCATGTAAATTATTAATAGGTGATAACATGATGTCTTGTGCAATTGGGGTAAATAAGCACTTGCCAATTTTTCAGACTACAAACTGCACTCACCCTACAGGTTTACGCAGTTTTGTTGACTTTGAAAAATTTACTCGAGCTAATTAACACTAAATTGCACCCCAAGTCATGTTATTTACCTACACAAACATCATAGAATTACTAAAATACCATCAAAGAAATATGTATAGAAGCAATTTCCCTGTTTGAGTAGAACTGATTGCATTGTTTACCATGAACAGGTTTGGATGTGTAAGTCAACTCCACACTCAGAATTTGTTGAAGTATGTAACTCAAGGTTCATGTAAGGAGTAAAAGAATTTAAATGGTTTATACTAAAACAAGTCAAGAGGGCAACAAACCTTGTACTTCCAGCCAACCTCATGGGACAGTCTACCAAGCACACAGTACTAAAGTGTGGATGAAAAACTAAAATAAATCACTTAAACCTAGTCAAAAAGTATTGAAAAACTAGCCAAAAACAATTAGACCTTTACCTACCACACTACACTTGCATAAACATTACAGTACTGCTTAATACGGTGCCCCTTTATACAGGTTCAACCATGTTAACATTTTCCCAGACTTCAAGTAAAGTTCACTAACTTCCCCTGACCTTGACAAATTTCTCTACCTTTCTCCTAACCTATTCTTGACGTGTAACAACTCACTTGCAGTGCACCAAAATATCTTACCTTCCTTCCTGGCTTGAGACGGACAACTCTCAGAGCTGAAGGAACCACCATTCGCTTTTCCTATGAAATGTTTACAGTAGAAAAACAAAAATGAATGCCTAAATGAAATAAGATCACCTGAGAATCTGACCATGTGTAACTGTTACAAAATGGCAAAAAGTTGCCTAGATAAAAAGATGTTTGATTTCAAAATTCGTCCACAAAAATCAAACTACTTTAAATTCTTCTTTCTCCATCAACTTAACCATTTGTCACAGCAACAATAGCTATGACAATAACCTTATTTTAAGAAGCTTAGAGTAGATAATTCATCTGCATGTTGAAAACTGTTGTAAAACAGTATGAGCAATATTACTTACCTTGTCATATGGAGTAGGCACACCATCATATACTTTAAGACGATTCATTGCCTCTGTTCCTCTCTTACTCTTGTGTGGGATCATTCCTATAAAAATACAAGACATCAGCTCAACTCTAGTATTTGATAATGCAATTTTGTACTGTTACCATGAAGAACCCTCTAAAGCACACCAACAAATCATCAATCCATGGATAAAACAGGAGTGAGTTTTAAGGTAGTCTTAGGGACCAAATATGTATACTAACCTCTCACTGTTCTCCAGACAATTCTGCTTGGAGCACGGAAATGAAAAGGTCCCCTGCTAGGTTTGGTGTTAGTTCGCTTACGAAGGAAATCAAGATACTTCACTGAAATAAACAACAGAACACAATGTCAATCATTCACCAGACAACGCCAAAGTAGTATATTCAGATAATTTGACAACAAATTTTCTTGAGTACCACAGCTTTTCATACAAAACTTTCGATTAAAATTAAATTTTACTCAAAGTAACTAACAATAACTTGTAATGTAACATTTTCTTATGCTGTGCACTCAGTCCTAAGAAATAGACCTGGATGCTAACAAGGTATTACCAGGTCCTGAAGTAAATTACTCTTCAATAATCTATTGCCATGAGGTAACTAGGAGAAAAGACACTGGTTTGAAAACAGCACTCAGAAGTAATTGCCTTACAAATACAACTTACACTTGTTCCTGTAGAAGCTGCCACTGATGTTGACTTGTTCACATCGTACAACAACTATTCTTTGCCCTGTGCAAAAAGACATAGCTTTAATTACTTTCTTGGAACTCTCTATGAAAGATGATTCATTCCTGGGTCACTACACAATGAAAATGACTCCAACAGAAAATTGAAGCTGACAGCTTGGCATGACTCAGTGTTCTAGTTTTGTAAGAAGGCTATCAGTTGATGACAGTTATCAAATATGAATATATCAGAACTTTTGGGAGTATGCTCACAAAAGTGCACAGAATTAGTTTTTAAGATATGTTGGAAGTATGTTGGTGTGCTTACAATTTTGAATGGAACTAGTAAAACCAGAGTAGACAACTATTCTAGAAAAATTAAAGGCACATCTCTGCAGACCGCTAGTTTAGAATGTATCAGGAGAAATTTAGGAACACTCCACAAGAAACTAATTCAACATCCCTTTAATCTTCATTTTTTTAATGCTCAGAATTACTGACTTTTGCTAAACTTCCAGTCTATGAAAGTGCACTGGTATTTAACTTCTCCTACAAAAGAGAAGTCTTGATATAATAATACATATAAATAAAAATTCCCCCTGGGTTTCAATTGACTTCAACTGATTTTCATAATGCTCAAAGCCATTCATTGGCTCTCAGATGAAACATGAAGTAATATCTAGCCTTGTTTCAAGACGTAATTTCGTGAAATAATCACCGAGATAACAGAATAACTATTCTTTAGTGTGGTTACGGATGCCACTTACCTGTTAGAAGGCTCTTTGCGATCGTGGATGCTAACCGGCCTAACAAATGGCCTGAAGCGTCGATGACAATTGACTGCAATCGAAAAATAGTGCCCCCTTACATATGTACCCACAAATTACGGTTAAAATGGCTTTGTTATTATTTGAGAAAATTTCCCACGTTTGCCAAAGTTTGTCTCAGAATACAACATCCTCATTTGTAGCGAGTAATTATGGGGTATCTAGACGTAACATCACAATAATAGATGACTCAATAGAGGAAATAATATAATGTTTTACATATTTCCTTATTTATTCAATTCAAGAAGCGATCTTATGGGAGAACATCCTGATTTTGTTCAACGCTTTTACCTTTTCAAACCCCATGTTGGAGCCGCTAAGAGAAAGACCGAGCTACACATGCGAGCCAGATATCAGGGGAGGCCCAACGGAATGAGAAGGGTTGAGCCAGGTCGCAAAGCATAATCTTGGTCACCAGTATTTTCCGTCCAAATCTGGAATATATTTTTCAAGAGGGCGTCGCGCCTACAATAACTAAAACAAAATATGAAAAAAAAAGTTACGTGGAATGCAATAAGTTTTCCCTGAATTTCCGTTTTCCAACCTTCGACCATCAAACTTAACACATTCCATAAGGATTAATTTTTGCACAATCTGTTCTGAGATTATAATTTACATCTTAGTCATGAAGTACCCATTCATACCACAGGCAGACCACACAATGTGTTCGTAAAGAAATAAAAAACGCGCCGAGTGCATTGTTGAGTTCTACAAGCGCGAAGGAAT